CTATTCAGTTCTTCATTCATTCATTTATTCATTGACTAGCATTACTAGCAAGGCCCTGTGCAAGACACTGGAAATGCGGATGATAGAAAAACCTGGTGCCTACCCTCATAAAACTGGTGGGAGGTAAAGGGGGATACAGATAATGAACCAGCAATTAGATGATGCGTGGCCAAGATAGAGGTGGAAGGCAGCATCTTATAGGAATCCAAACTCCACTCAGTCCTGGTGGTTGTTGTGTCTGGCTCTCAGAGGTTTCCTGATTAAATCTTTGGAGGGTGAGTCAAGGGAGCATGGTGAAGAACGGAGGGAATGCATGTTCAGCCATGTGAATAGGTCCATGAGTGAAACCAGGAGGAAGGGCCAGAGCCTGGGATTTCTTGCATAAAAATTAACATATTAACGTTACTGTTAAACAAAGACATTTCTGGGCCATGGATTTAATCCTAGACTGTGTAAAAACAAGTAATTGATTCCTTATACTTTAAAAGGATTTCCAGTATTTGATTTGTTTGGTGTGTAAAAAGGGAAATACCAGAGCGAGTTTAAGGTTTCTAGTTCTGTTTCTCATCATAGTCTTGATACTTGGATTCAAAAGTTTTGCGAATTGTCTGTGACTCTTTATAAATCACACTGCCCTCAAACACCATTTAAGGATGGGGAAGGGTCTGACACGTAGGTGGGAAGTTTCTGAAGATGCCGCAGCTCTTCCCTGTTTTCCTGTTACTTAAGAAGAGGAGCTAGAAATGAGTGTTACATCAGATTATTCTCGTGTTCTAAGTGTTTGGTTGAAGAGGTAAAAGTGTTTGGCTTGAAAGCATACAAATTTTCATCCATACTTAGTGTACAAACTTGATTACTTAGAGGATTGAGTAATGGCCTCCAGTGAAACGCATTCTTTTTAAAAGCAAGTGAAGGATGCTATTTAAGTCAGAGCGGGAAATTGGATATTTATGAATTTATTAATCATTGCAGGCAGAGAAGTAGTGTTCTTTAAGATGTGCTTAGACAGAGTCTCTGGATGAGTCCGTATATCAAGCAGGCCAGATACTACCTTTGAGTATTATTTCAAGGAAAAAGGACTCCACTGAGCTCACTGGCTTCTCTTTCATTATTATTTCAGAAGGTTGTGGTGGCACAGAGGGCTCAGGGCTACCTATATACCACTAGCTATGTTGCCGATTTTATATTATTTTTTATAAGGTGCCAACCAGAAGCTGCTTCGGATAGACAAGACGTGGCCCAGCGGGGTGGTTGACTTACAGGTGATCTTTTGGCAGAAGACATGGTATCAGGGGTAGAGTCTGGTTATGGGTCAGTGCAGCGGGGACTTTAAGTCCTACAAGTATAACTGAGAGCCTGATCCACAGGCCTTAGAAAAGGCTTCAGGTGGAAGACAGTCCAGTCACCTGGATAGCTTCTTTAACAGCTGGCGGACCCGGTAAGCAGGCACTTATTTGCTAAAGGATTCGGCCCATTGGCTGGCTTCATCTGGCTTGTAGAGGCTCTGTTAAAAGAGATCTTAGTTCTTTTGGGGGCTTGGGACTCACCTCTTGTTCACTCAAAGTAGTTATGTTCTTACATTTATTTTCACATTTGTGTCTGGTCACCTTCTGGCTTGATGTGTGCCCCTATGTCTGGAAAAGGTTAGAGAGACGGGTAGAAGTGGAGGCTGCCCCTTCCATCACGTAGCTGTTTTATCTTTTCAGAGATTCAGTTGGGATCCTAACCCTTTGGGCCTCTGTATTTCCACACTTGCTCTTACATATCAGTTTCCATACAACATCAGGGGCGATATTTTAGATATAATTAATCGATCCTATAGTCTGGAGTTTACAGCTTTCTTAGTGTAAATTCTTACTCTCAAGAGAAAAATTTTCCTTCTTAGGGATTCGTGTTTTGTACAAATGGCTGACTCTATCCCTATTCTCTTCCATAAATAAAGGTATTTAGATCAGAAAAATAAACATTAAAATCAGGGACCAGCCATGGGCCAGGGCTGGTCTGTTACCTATTTTGATAAATAAAGTTTTATTAGCACATAATCACTTCCATGTGTTTACAGGTTCCCTTACAGGCTATAATCCAGTTAAGTAGCTGCAACAGAGACTGTATGGCCCTTGTAAAGCCTAAAATAGTTATTATCTGGCTCTTTACAGAAAAACTTTGCCCACTACTGCTCCAAATCATTTTTACTGATGAGGAAACAGTCTCAGATCAATCCATCCAATTGTGCAGTTAGACCTATCTACTAACCATACCTCTGTCAGATGCTCTTTCACTGCCAAATTAAATGCTTGGTAAAAACAATCATAGTTTAGATTATATAAAATCAAATAAACAGTAAAACCACAAATTAAGAGAGTTGTCAAAAGACCTCTAAGGGCTTATACTAACCTAAATCAAAATATAAATGTCATTTTTTCTGAATTAAAATAGCATCATCTAATAGAAGTAAATAGACTGTGTGCATATACATATATTTATTTATTTATGTTTAGAAAAATAGTAATAAATATATTAACTTACATTTAGAATTTATATATATATACACACACAGACAAAGATTACTATTGAGAATATCATTAATTTTATAAAAATACCAACAAAAAAGTTCATGTGTCTTAGAGCAGAGTTCTAAAAGATGTTAAAAGCAATGTGTTGAAGAAAATGCTTTTAAAACAGACCATGTTGACCTCGAGACGGAGTCTCACTCTGTCACCAGGCTGGAGTGCAGTAGCGGAATCTCGGCTCACTGTAACCTCTGCCTCCCGGGTTCAAGCAATTCTCCTGCCTCAGCCTCCTGAGTGGCTGGGATTACAGGCGCACGCCATCACACCTGTCTATTGGTGCAGCTGTAACACTTTAGGCCCCAAATATTATGTTATTATATTAGTTTCCTAGGCACAAGCAATCTTTAGTGTTTCTCTTCTCTCTCCTCTCTCTCTCTCCCTCCCGCTCTCTCTCTTTTCTCTCTCTCTCTCTCTCTCCTCTCTCTCCTATCTCTCTCTCTCCGTCATCATATGACATTCTCTTCTCCGTGTCTGTGTCCAAATTTTCTTATTATTCAAAGGATATCAGTCACATTAGATTAAGGGCCCATATACTGAAGTATATACTGGAAATATACTCTAGGTTACACCACAGTATAACTTCATCTTAATTAATTACACCTGCAATGATGTTATTTCCAAATAGGGTCACATTCTGAGGCACTGAGGGTTAGGACTTCCACATATCTTTCTGGGAGACACAATTCAGTCTGTATCAGACACATATATATATATGTGTGTGTGTGTGTGTGTGTGTGTGTATATATATATGATTCCCTAGGAAACAAGGTGGAAAAAGAAGGATGAAGGTGGAAAAAGAAGGATCTCAGCTTGATTGAAGACAGGAACCTGGAAAATGCCCACTTTAGAGGGCTGAAGAGCGAAACAGAAGGAGAGGACAACAAGCCATGTGTTCTCTCAAGGCTAGCTTACTCAATTTCTCAATACTATTTCACATTTCTGGAATTCTCTTCCAAACTACTATTTATTTGCATGCTTATATCAGATGTACCACTTGCATTAACACTTCTCTTACCAGCCTAACCCACTGACATTTCTTCCTTCTCTGAGAGTCTCTAGCGTATGGATGCCGGAGGGAGTGGCGAGGGAACTGA